GTGATATATATATATATATGAGAAAAGTCATTCACTACATACCTATTAGAATGGCCCAAATTCAAAACACTGACAATACCAAATTCTGATGAAGATTTGGAACAGGAACTCTCATGGACTGCTGGTAGAAATGCCACATGGTGCAGCCTTCCAATTTGGAAGGCAGTCGGCAGTGTCTTACAGAACTAAACACATTCTTGCCATACAGTCCATCAAGTGTACTCTGTTTTTACCCAAATGAACTGAAAACTATATCCACACAAAATCCTGCACATAGATGTTTGTAATAGCTTTAGTTATAACTGCCAAACTTGGAAGTAACCAAGGTGTCCTTCGGTAGGTAAATGGATGCACTGTAGGACATCCAGACAACGGGATAGTACTCATCACTGAAAAGCCATCAAAAGACATGGAAGCTGAAGTACATATTACTAAGGAAAAGAAGCCAATCTAAAAATCTACATCTGCATACTGTATGATTCCAGCTGTATGATATTCCAGAGACAGTAAAAAGTTCAGTAGTTGCCAGGGGCTGAGAGAGAAAGGACAAATAGACAGAGCACAGAAAATTTTCAGGACGGTGAAACTATTCTGTGTGACACCACAATGGTGGATACAGGACATTGCACATCCGTCAAAACCCACAGAATGTACATGAAGAGTGAACCCTAGAGTAAACTTTGGACTGGGGGCGACAACAACATGTCAGCACAAGTTCATAGGACCTGCCACTGTGGTGTGGGGTATCGATAGTGGGGGGCTGCACCTGTGAGGGGCTGAGGGTGGATAGGAACTCTCTAATTCCCATTCAATTCTGCTGGAAACCTAAAACTGCTCAACAAAATAAAGGCCTTAAAAAAAAGGAAACTAATAAATACTGTAAAAGTAGTGTCCGAACAAGTTAAACAGGATCACTGATGTAACATGATTGTCCCACAAGTCTAGTCAGCGCTTACCCAATTATCCGATATGCCTGCACATGCAAACCTCAGAGGCTGAAAGCAGACACTCATCAGTCTGAAGGGACCTTCCCTCCCTCCCACCCACTCTCCACCTACCGAAATCCTAACTGTTCTAACTCTTCACAGTTTGCTCAATATGTCAGAGACATACTGAGGCAGTTGTCATTTATGACACTATGGTTATTTGTCATCATCCCTATTTTATCTTCCAATTTACACACTCAAGTTGCCTTCCTGGCTCATCCCATTTGATGTTGTACCCCACCTAGTTACTTGCTTCTATGTCCCTCACACCTATTAAATTTTAAGTTTTTTGAAAGCAAGAGTTTGTTTCTCTTTCATGCCTCCCATATGACTATAGTGTATACTCATTTACTATTTTCAGAATTTACTAAAATATTAGTGAACAAAATAGAAAAAATGTTAACATTTAATCCATCATTAATGTTACTCCTTAAGCTTTAACAATTGGTAGCGCTGCTTCTTTGTTAAAATTCACTTCCAAACGCTATATCCTTTTTATACCTAAGTTACAAATAAACTCTTTGAGGATTGGAAGAGTGAGCGGTTGAGACACAGAAAAGGAAGGAAGAGAACGTGTATTGAAAACCTACTATGTGTCACACTAAGCTCAATAATTAAGAGAGAAAAGGGCAAAACCCAGCAGCTAGGAGTGTTTGGCACATCCCTAGGGATAGACCTTGCTAGACCACTTAGGACTAGCATTCCAGGACAGCCAGTGAGATTCTACAATAAGCAGGAACCATACAGAGTTGCCAGAATGGGGAGCAGTTACTTTGTGTAAACTTTGTAGACACTTACAGCATTATTACAAGTGGTGAATCGATGCCACTTGAAGAGTCCATGCTCAAGTCCATGACTACCCCCATGCCCAGCTTGGGTTCTCTTCTCTTTTTAATTAAAGAAGTAGATTCAATTACTTTAGGAAGTCTCACTAGATAGATACCTGGTGCTGTCCTATTTCCCTGGAGGAAAACAGATCATAAAGGAATGTCATTTAATCCTTGCTATCAAAACAGTAAGAAAAATCTGAAATCAAAACAGTAGTTTCCATTTAAGAGTGTAGTAACTGATAACCTTTCATGAAAGAAGAATCATAAAGCAAGTGGTTTGAGCTAAAGGTACTCTGTTGCTTGAGATGTTGTGCTATAAAAACTTTTCTTAATTAAATTTTTTATTTAAGATAGCTGCAGATTCCCAAGTAGTTGAAATAGACAATACAGAAAGATCTCATACCATTGACATTTACCCACTTTCCCCCAGAAGTAACATCTTGCAAAACTATAGGACACTATCAAAATCACATCTTGATACTAATAAGGTTGAGAGACAAACCTTTTTATCAACACAAAATCCCTCCTGTTTCCGGGTTATAGTCATACCCCTTCCCCTCGGGCTGCCCTCCCCCCTTCTGTAACGCCTGCAACCAATGATCTGTTTTCTCTTTTTATATGTTTGTCATCACCATGATGTTAAGTAAATGGAATACAATATGCAACCTTTGGGATTGGCTGTTTTCACCTTGGATAATTACCTGGAGATGCATCCTACTGTAAAACCTTTTAATTTGTACAGATCACGAAACATAATTACAGCCTAGTCAAGTAAATGAAGATCTTGGGTTCACTGATGATTCACACTAAAGCAAAGGGGACAGAAAATGAAATTTCATTCTGCTCTTCTATACCTGTGTTTTCCTGCTACTGTAAAGACACAGGCATTCTTGTTGTCAAATTGTTTTACCACCAAGACTGTTTTACACTTTAAAATTATGAAACTTTATGCTTGTGTGGCCATAAAGTTGCATAAAACTTGTCTCCAAAGAAAAACATTTCAGATAGACATGAATATACAATGAACTCCTTGAGTTTTTCCACTTAGAACTATGTCTTTGCTCTCTCATACTACCAAAAAAACCAGCAGCCCTGACTGGTGTGGCTCAGTGGATTGAGTGCCGGCATGGGAACCAAAGGGTCAGCAGTTGGGTTCCCACTCAGGGCACCTTCCTGGGTTGTGGGCCAGGTCCTCGGTAGGGAGAGTGTGAGAGGCAACCACACATCGGTATTTCTCACTCTCTCTTTCTACCTCCCTTCCTCCCTGTCTTCCCCTCTGTCTAAAAATAAATAAAATCTTAAAACAAACAAGCAAAAAAACACACAAGCAAACATGAAAAAAAAGTCTGTAATCACTGTTGTTTGGAAAAGCAACTCTCATGTTGAGTTTTAACCATGGCAGAGAAGAAATACATGCATCCATCAACTCCAAAATCTTAAAAACCACCAGATGATTTGTTTGTTCTTCAATTTTTTTTCTCTCAATCCATTTAGGATATCGTTCAGAACCACTTCTAATACCTGCCAAACTTGGCAATAGAATCCCATTACTGAATGATCATTTGAAAAGCAAAAGCAAAATCCAGACCAGATAATTGGCTAACTTTCTATCCCTTACCATTTTCAAAAACAGAAACCAAATCAGCTCATCGCACAATAGCAAACCTGTAACACAAAAGATCAACCTACAAATAATGAAAGGGTCTGCAACCTGTTGCCAGGTTTATAAATCAGAGGCCTAAAACTCATCCGTCTTTTAATCAGATCCACAGCACTCTGCATTGGTGACACAATTTGTTAAGCAAATCAAAACTCATTAGTCACCAGTCAAAAGATTTCTAAATGAAGCACATACTATGCTAAGTTTCTAACTTAGATATAAAGAGATAGAGATAGAGGGAAAATGATAAGAGAGATAGACATAGGGAAGGAGGAGAGGGGGGGAGGTGGAGGGCAAACCTCCTAGGTGGTTGCTTCAAATGTTTGTATACTTTAATAAATTGTGGAGGAAAGTAACAATGTTATTTAAACAATTACTTGCCCAGTAAAAACAAACAAAGACAAACACCAGGCAAATTTAAACTTCCTTAATTAACCTTACTACATATACAATGCACACACTCCTTTATCACAACTTTGAATTACCCTCCTTTTCCTGTTTGGAGAAGGGTTCTAAGGCTAATACCACGGTTCCGTTTAGACACTGGCAGTTAACCGGGATAACAGTCCACAATCACTATTCCCTGCTAGTAGCTCTCTGACATGGGGTTGTCTGCACAGTGGTATTCGTTTGCCCCACAGTTCTAGGGTCGATAAAATCCGTTGCACAAAGTGGACAACACATTGTTAGCAATGTTGACTGTTAAGAAAATACACACATACATATTTAGAAAGAGAGCTACAAAATTCCAGAATGGAACAGACAGATTTTCTAACTCCTAAACATCCCACAGAGGGTGGCGATAACATACCTTAGTGCCACTATGTGTCCAGAAGCTGAATGTTGTGCCCCTTAAATAACCGATCTACAGCTCAACTTTCTCATCTGAACAACGAGAACAGGAGGACCTAACTCACATAGTTTAAAAGGGTTAAAAAACTCGGTATATCTGAAATCAAGGCCTGGAGCACTAAACACTACATAAGAATTAGGTACTACTGAAGAAGACTATTACAATAAAACTAAGTCCACTAGCCCCACAACAGGCCAAAAGTTTAAAAGACATATTCTAGAAAAGATAAAACGAAGGGTTTGGCAAACTTTTTTTTATAAAGGGCCAGATACCACTGTAAATAATGTGGCTTCTCAGGTCAAGAGACAATATCCACAACCCTTGTGGCAAGTATTCTCCTGAAAGACTAATAGGTTGGTTGTTTACATTTTACAACTGAAGGACCCATTCCAAAACAGGTCGGATTTGGACTCAGGGCCATAGTTTAGTGACCCCTGGATAAGAGCATAATGATTATAACACAAGTTAGTACTTTTTAAAGGCAACATAAGGGGAACGTTTGCGAGTTGATTAAAGCTGAGTGAAAAACGCGCTGCCCCCAAACTTCTAAAATCCACACAGGCATGGCGGGCGTGGTAGGGAATGGGCTCGGACCCGGGAAAGGGCCTCAGAAGCCGGCGAGGGCGTGCGTTGCCGCTCTCCCGGTCAGGCCGAGCCCCCGCCACACTTACTCCCAGCAGCGGGCCGCGGCCGATCACCGTCTCCCCGGGCGCCAGGGCGACCGGGGCGCCGCCGTCCTGTGGCTGCAGCTCAAAGACCCCGGACATGGAGGCAGGATCTGGGCCCTTCGCGATCAGAAGGTCCCCGCAGCTGTTTATTCCTTCCGGGAGGAGCCCCGGGCCTACACAATCCCTCGGAAAAAACTAGGGAGGGAGGGGAGCTGGGACTCCCCTCTGGCTCTCGAGAGTCCCCCAGCGGGGACCGGAGCTGCCCGCCCCGCGCCCCAAGCCCCGCCCCTCTGCTCACGTGGGGGTGGGGGGAGTGGGGGGGCCGGCAACGACTCACTCAGGGATTTCCCTCTCACAGGGGCCCCCCAGCTATTGTTTAAAAGCCCCGGGTAAACCCACTCCCGCCCCTAATCACCGCTACCTGCTGTGGAGGACTCCGGACCTTGTAGTCCATAGCGCCTTCCTTCTTCTCCGGTGCTGCGGTGCTGAGACGCTGGTAGAACTACCAATCCCGAAGGGCAATGCTCGTCCCACACCCGCGCGCAATCGGGGGCAGCCAGCTGGGCTGGAGTGGGTGGGACCCGGAGGACTACGGGGATGGCTTCAGAGCCCCCGAGATTTAAATCGCAGGAGCACACTCCGGCACGTTCCAGCAGGTAAGAAGGTCTCCCCTCTCTTTCCCGTTGAGGTCAGGCCTGCCGCCTCGAGGGTTCGGGTCCCGTGCCAGCGCAGCCTCGGCTTAGCGGAGCGGAGCTGAAGTGACAGTTGAGCTCGGAGTTGTTATTGTTGTGCGGTTGTCTGTGCTCCGGGTTCTTCGAACCCTCGTAGCTGCGGCCTGCGTGGGGGAGGGGAGGCCACGCCAGGAAGGTGGCTCCGGCGAGATGTGGGGTCATTCCGTCCCACTTGCGGGGTCTGGACTGGGTGAATGCTCCCCGGTGGCTGCGAGGCTCCTGAGGCTAGGTCTGCACTGCCTCCAGATCCCTTCCTCCGTGTGACACCTGAAAGGGGCGAGCCCTTCCCCAATTAGCGAGGCAATTCGGCAAAGTTTGGTTCTTTAGGAAGAAGAGGCAGAAAAGGGATAGTTTTCCAGGGATCCAGGCAAAACTGGACTTAGAAGAAAGATGCCTAGTAGGATTTTGAGAACCTGACCAAGGCACCCCGACTGTTAAATTCAAAATATTGCCCTGTAAAGCAACTAACGAGAAGCAGCATTTTATTCCTAAAGAGATCCTGGAAGTAGTGACAAACAGCAACGATCTCCTAATATAAGATTCGTTTGGAGAATATAGTAGTGTGACTTTGATCCTGTGTTGATGGGAAGGGTGTGGCAAAAACTTGCGGTTGACTCAGGAACTTCATTTTACCACTTTGTTTTCTTCCCCAGATCCTCAAGAGGAAGTCCTCCGTTGAACAGAGGCATTAAAATTCTGACCACCTCAGTTAATTTGGATCATAAACAATCAAATGAATGGAAGCAACTGTGGTCTTGGTAAGTCCAGAAACATGTAGGTGAGTAGCTCATCTACAGAGGGGAATTGTCCTGAGCTCAGTTAAAAGAAGTATGGAGCTGTATCTCAAACTCCTCCTTTAACACCACCATCCCTATTTTAAAAGGAAGTGCAAAATGGAATAAACTGATTTTAAGTGAGTATAAGCTGTCTTTATATGCAAAAATAGCTCAGCTGGTTTTGGAAGCCAGTGCATCTTAGGTAAATTAGCTGAAACTGGACTTTAAATCTCCTGTCACTGTGCTATATACCTAGGTGAGTAATAAACATTGTTTATAGTGGTTAGTCACTGTTGCATGATAGCCTCCGCCACTATTATCCTTGGTTCATAATTAACTGCAGGATAGCTTCAACAGGCCATTTCTAAAACACCAGTCTGATAACTGAATTGAATTTTTGAGACTTTGTATCATCATAACCCTGACCCTGACTTCTTGTCCATTTTAGATAGTATTTGTGTCCAATGTAAGCACCTACCCATCAGGTATAAATAGATAAACAGCTCTTACATAAAGTACAAAATGTCCATCGGGTTTATGATGAACTCACAAATTTCAGATGAAGAACTTCATGGCAAGGCATCAGTTCCCACAGACAAGTATTCAGGAGCTTGATAGAATTGAATCATACAGATTTCCCAAGGTATTTTCAATAAATATTTGGAATGGAACATATTCTCACAATAGGCATTTCTACTAAACTCAATAAATTGTAGTCTGTTAAGAATCACTTCTCTCTCTCTCTCTTTTTTTTTTTTTTAGAAAATCTTCTTTGGGAGCAAGCACAAAGACAAATGTTTAGTAACCCTTTTACTAAAAATATTAAAAAGAAGAAGAGAAGTAACATTTGTTGAGTGCCTCCAGTGTGCAATTCAGATGTGAGGCTCAGTGATTTACACACTAATCCTAGCACAAACATACATGAGAGGATCATTTTGGCCCCATTTTACAGAATAGGAAGCTTGAGTCAGGAAAGGAAAAGTTTTAAAATTAATTCCCAGAAAGCATCTGGCTCAGAGTGGGATCCATAGTCTGACCTGAAGAGACTAACTTTAAACTCTGCCTTTTAGGTTACCCACGAGGATAATTAACTAAAACATCAAGCTATGCAGAATAACTCCAAAAGGAACAACAATTCAGGAGTTTCTGACACAGAATTGAACTCTGTGGATCCTGAAGAGAGTCAAAATAACTATTTTGAAAGGCTGCCTCTAGAAGTTACTTTACGTATTTTCAGCTGGCTGGACGTTCAGAGTTTGTGCAGGGCTTCAATGACGTGCTGGAGCTGGAATGACAAAATAAGAGTCGATGACTCCTTATGGAAACCTCATTGCTTGGCTATAAGAGCTGTGTGCAAAAAAGAAATAGATGATGATCTAAAAAGTGGTTATTCCTGGAGGGTAAGTTTAATTTTTGTGGTCTGCAGTGTTCTTAATAATATGGTGGTAGGTTTGAACCCAGCTCTACCTTCTGCTTGGAGGAGGTAGTATTCACATGCAGAATGACATTCAGAATGGGTTGGCTTTTGAACTTAAAGTTGTATTATTTTTTTTCTGCACACCACACTATCCCCCATTGATCCTTTAACATTTTTTAAGTCTTAAGTCAGGGCATTTTCCTGTTAACCAGAAGGAAAGTGGCTACTTCTTTTCACTTCACATTATCCAACACCCCCCGCAAACTGTGGCTCACTCTGTAGATATACACATACACATGTATATCTACACACACAAAAAAACACACACAAATTTACTAGTATATGTGTATATCAATGTAAATATGTGATCTTTTCAACCCTATCAATCAGCTTCTCAGGTTTGAAACAAACTGCCGAGCAGCAACACGCTACATTGTTTAATGATGACGGCTTACCTCTTTCAGGATACACTTCTGAGGAATTACAAGAAGAGTAAAGTGAAGCTTGAATGGCTAAGTGGCAGATACAGCAATATATGTTCTCCTATTAACCTGCCAGAAAAAATCATGTACCCGATGGATGCAGAAACGTGGGGAGAAATTCTAGAAGCGGAACTGAAAAGATGCAAAAATCACAAAGATATCATAGCTTTGAGAGTTTAAAACTAGTATGATTCTAAGGTGGCAAAATGTATGTTTTTATCCATTATTTTTTTGTTCACCTTTTAAAATATTTAACATTTAAAAGAAAACTTAAGTAGAAAATATTATAAAAGTAAAGCTTTATTTTTACTTGGCACTTTAGTAAAGAATATTTTTCTGGTTTTATAAGGGGAAAAATCATGAAATGTTTTTTTATATAAGAAATAATATACCAGTGGAGTGATTCCAAAATGTATTGTTTCTTGTATTTGTGTTAGTGTATTGTGGTACACTAATGATAATAGAGTTTGGTATTTTTTGCTTAATGATAATTCGAAAATTCAGGAAACCATTTGAAGAAACTGTCTTAGCAATTCATTAAATAGTAGGCATAACTAGGCTCATGGGAAGATTACCTCAATGAAATTAATAGCAATATGTTTAAATGTATACAAGTTTATATTTCAAAAGCTTTAAAATTTCCATTTCAGTGAAATCAGATTGAATTGTCAAACATTGAAACCATTTTAAAACGTACTAAACTTGTGGTTTAGTTTCAAATTAATCGGACCATAGGGCTAAAACTTGTGAGATTAAGGTTCTCATTACTTGCCTACAGACCTAGAATTGCCCTCAGGGACTGAAACAAACTGAACTGCCATTCTATTTTTCTTAGCAAAACTCTGATTCTTACAGCCTTGTAGCACCATCTAGTGTTGTACACTATTGATAACCAAGACAAAGGACTTAGCTTTTTGTTTCTCCATATTTAAAGATTTTGTTTATTTATTTTTAGAGAGCAGGGAAAGGAGGAAGAGAACGAGAGAACATCAATGTGTGGTTGCCTCTCACATGCCCCCTACTGGGGACCTGGCCCAAAACCCAGGCATGTGCCCTGACTGGGAATCCAACTGGCGACCCTTTGGTTTGCAGGCCAGGACTCAACCCACTGAGCCACACCAGCCAGGGCTCTCCACATTTAAAAGAAAGAAAAATATTGTTTTAAAGAAACTTAAGTACCAGACTTAAAGTTTATAGCTTTCCAGGAATTTTTAATTTAACTCTCATTCTCTCTCTTTTTTTTTTAAAGTAGTTCACTATACCAGATTGTTCATTCTGAATCTGGCCAGAACCATAGTAGAAGGTACCTACAAAACAGTTAGTATGGGATTTTCTTCTTAAATTGTGCTCTATAGCATGAAAATTAGAATCTAGGAAACCAGTATTTAACAAATAGGCAAAAATCAGACAGATACCCCATTCTCTACCAATTCCCTTTGTCGGATGAAGCAGGTGATGACTGACTGTCTCCTACTGTCTTCTTAGAGCTGGAAGGGGCCTTCACAATCAGGCAGCCCTCTCTATAAGACTACTTGGCAACCCTGTCTTTAGGAATGTTCTTCCTATTACCCACCATTAATTCTTTCCTTGGCAGTCTTTTTGTAAAACTCACCATCTTGATCTGGAAACCATCTCTAGTTTCTACCATTCTGGATTAAGTGACTCTGCTAAGGTTCCCCTTAGTTCTTTGTACATTCCATCCTCAGAGCTGTCAGACTACATTAAATTGTTTTATTTGTCTCCTCCTCTAGACTGTGAGCCTCTAAATGGCAGGGACCATTTATTTATTTTTGTGTTCCCAAAGCCTGGAACACAGTAGGTATTCCATAAAGATTTATTAAATTATTTCTGTATTATTTATTTTAAGTCTACCCAGAATATGTAATAAAACTAATTTATTATATTGTTAATAGATGAGTACTGAAGTGCAATGTACAACACACAAGATATGTGGTATGCTTGATATTGATGCTAATATATGAATAATTGTCCTAGTCTTCTCAACAGCTGTAAGAGAAAAATAGAATTTTAAATTTTTTAATTTTTTAAATAAACACTTAAAAATACACTTAACCTCCAAAGTATTTATTACTTTTAATTATTGGGTCTTTAGTGTGATATTTGTAATACTGTATTTAAGTAGTTCTTTGTATAATAAGTTATGAGCTATGATCACAGTCTACACTGAAAGCAAAGTTTTGGAACTCAAAGATAAGTTTTATGGTCTGGGCTTAGAATAAACTGTACATTTATCAGACTGAGCCATTAGCTTCTGAAAACATGAGTGGGTGGAGTAATATGGAAGGACTGCTATTAGTCATAGTTAAAGTTACGTGTTAAGTTTGCACAGTTTGTAAAAGAGGCAAGATTACTAGGATGAGTATTAAGGAATTTCCAGTTTTTTACTATTTAATCAGCTCAAGATGTACTATTTTTAAAAATAAAGGAAACATTAAAAAACAACTCACCTAATAAAAAATAATAAAATAAATTTAGAAGGCTTTTTTAAAAATTGCTTTTAGTTTATAATCCATTCTAAGACCAGGGCATAATCATTAATAAAATCTACATGAATATAAACTGTAGATCTTAGAATAGTCACATCAGTACAGGTTAATTTGAAAAATATACCCCTAACCACTTTCATTTCATCTTTGTTTTGACTTTATGTAATACCTTCTCCCCAAAACTTCAAATGCCTAATAGTATTAACAAACATAAGATGGGTAGCAACGTCAGGACATGGATTGGGAAGAATGGTGCATAAGATGAAAGGTCACGCCTTTCTAATGTGAGGCTGAAAGAACAAAAGCATCAGATGGATAGAGGTAGGTCAATAAATTAAAAGTCAATTTACTATAATAGTTAACACTGAGTGCCTGCTCTGCATCAAGTATCAGTTTCTGTGGGGGTGCTACTACTGTATCCCCACTTTATGAATGAGGAAACAAATTTAGCAAATGACTGAGGTAGTTCATCATCACTCCTCAGTAACCTAGAAGAGTGTGCAATAGCCGCTGCTAAATAAATTTTTATTGAATGAATTAAAAGCTCAGAATGAATAACTCAAGTGGAAGAATGTTCCTCCAACTTTTTATTTTGAAAAATTTCAAACCCACAGAAAAGTAAAATTATATGACAAAAACTCTTATGTATACCCTTCACCTAGAATACCTGTTGTTAACATTTCCACATCGAATTTATTAATTGTGCTGAAGTGTTTGAAAACAGATTACAAAAGTGATGATACTTCACTCCTAAATATTTCAGCATACATCTTAATAAGTACAATATCATTGTCACATCTAAAATTTTATATTAATTCAATAATATATAATTTAAAATCTATACTTAAATTTCCTCAAATGATCCCAAAAATAGATTTTATAGATTTTTTTCCAATTCAAGAACCGAATAAGGTTTACATGTGCATATCTTTTTTGTGTCTCTTTAATCTCTACTAGTGTTTTCCTGCCCTTGGCTTTGTTTTTCAGGATATTGACTTTTTTAAGAATTCAGTCTGGTAATCTTATAGAATGTGCAATAATTAATTTGACTTATTGTCTCAGCATGGTTTGATTCAGGTATAACATCTTCAGGTATAGCAATTATAGCACACAGGTGATGTAATATACTTTGTATTATACCACATTAAGAAGCACATGATGTCTGATTGTTCTATGTTAGAAGGTAGGTCTGATCATTTGGTTGAGATGGTAACTCCAAATCTCTCCACTGAGAAGGAAATTTTTCTATAGAGCCAAGATTTCTTTTTTCAACAACCTGTTTCTAGAGTTTATCCCCATTGGCTAATCCTATACTGAATGATTTTATCTTTATGATAATATCTATAATGTAATATAGATATTACTTTATTTCAGCTTCACAATTACATTTTCAAAGAACACAGGAAAATCGTCCCCAAATTCTTCTCCAGACAATCTAAATATAAAAATAAAAAAATGTAAAGCCAAAATTTAAACCCAAAACTCTTTGACTTCAGAAATCAACCAAGCTTCTAATCAGTATAGTGCCTTTTATCATTTTGACAGCCCTTACACTGAAGCAACAGAAAGAACTAAGACTAATAAGGAATACCATTCATTACAGATACCTAGAAAATCTGTGGGAAGTTAATATTAAACACATAGATTTTACATTTCTGCTAATGGCAGAACAGATCATTCTTACATGCCTTCCTCCTTAGAATAACTTGAAAACCTCTGAAAAAGAATCAATGTACTTGAAGGTATCAGAGTGCTAAAGAGATAGTAAAGAAATATAGGACCGGTGTGCAGGAAAGAAAGAGAACCAGAGAGGTAAGCCTATGCCTGATGCTAACCTTGCCATGGGTGTATTTGCCAGTTTCTGCAAGAGCAGCTAAATTATTAAATAGATTTTGAGAGCATCTCAAGGATATGAGGACAATGAGTGGAATCTAGGACTCCTTAAGAGAAGGGGAACCAGTAACCCCCCTCTTTGGCAATCTTCCTTCTTGTAGTTTGGGAACTAGGACTACACCTCAGGAATGGGAGTGACCTGGAAATACATAGGTACTCACTGGAAAACTTTCAAAACACCTCAACCACTGAAATTGGGTTGAGTAGATACCAGAATAATCTGCCAGAAGCAAAAGAAAACAATCATCCTCCTTGGAGAGAGGGAGATCAACATTTTAGGTTTTACTTCATCTTTAGAAACATATTTTAAAAGTCAATGTCTCACACATGCATGCACATACACATACATGTATAAGGAGGCATAATAATGTGAATTAAAAAAAACAGAAAAGGGCAATATGTTGAGGTTCACCCTGCCTGGTCTCAGGAAACTGTAACCGCCTGTAGCTAAGCCTGAGTAAGAGGCCTCTAAACCAGGAGACACTAAGGAGACAAAACTTATTTCCCTGGCATGAATGCTGCCTGTTCTAATGCCTGGGCCCCAATGCTTGATCAGTTAGCTGATGATGGGTAAGATTTCCCACGGGGGGAATCACCTAAAACAAGCATGATCATGTGGAGGCCTCAGGGAAGGACTTGGGGGGCTGTGGAAATGAAGGGGTGATCAACATCGACCCCTGCCCCTTCGGCTTTGTCAAAGCCTGAGCCCTTGTTCTTAGTTGTGAGAAATCCAAGTTTCCCGGCTGCCTTTGTCTCCTCTGCCCGACTCAGGCCTGCAGAAATAATAGGGGTGGTGCAGTACAGACCAGAGTTGGTGGACCTCTGGGGTAATCAGGCCTGAGGCATAGAATATGAAAGATCCTGTAAGATCTGCTTGCTGGAGGACGCTCTTTAATTAGACGAGATCGGGTGCGTTCAGGGTGGTATGGCCGTAGACGGATGCTCTTTAATTAGAATATGAAGGCGCGGGCAGGAAATGAAACTAGCCTTTTAGGTCCTGTAGTCTTTTTAAATGATAAAACCCAAAAATCTCAGAATCCCAGCAGGAGATCTGCTACTCCCCTTCAAAGTTAACTACTTGTTTTATCTTCCCTGTCAGACTGTAGTTCACAAACTGTATCAGTATGTTTAATAAAAGACTGCTTGGGTGGGAGAATGAGGCATTCTCCACTGGAGAGGGTGGCCAAGGCGCTCTCCACTAGAGAGAGTGGCCATTCTCGTACCTATTTCTCCACAGGACTCGGTTGTCCATGTGTATGTTTTTCTCATGTTTTGACGAGCATTTGCAGCAGCGATGGATACTGCTGGCTCAGTATCTGTCACACAATAGAAAAGATCCACATTTAGAGTTATCATTTAGGTTGGTAGTTTTCTTCCAACATTTAGAGATGAAGTCTCCAAAAAAAAAACCCAAAGCTTAAAGCATATTGAAGATTCCAGCAGAGAACTGAAAATAATAAGAAATAGCCAAATGGAAATTTTACAACCAAGAAATAAAATGACATATTAAGAAATCAACAGATGGGTTTAAAAGCAGGTTAAACCCTGCTGAAGAGAGAGAAAGCATTAGTGAATCTGAAGATAAGTGCAAAGAAAATATCCAGAAAAAAGCAGAGATAA